CACTTTGAAAATGAAACTAAGAGCTGCTAAGACAGCATTTCAGTTTCAGAATGTAAAAAAATAAACTTAGAAATGCCCCCTCCCATCATGTCTGCAGCTATGCTGAGTGTGGATGTACAATTCTGTGCCCCAGAACAGCAGAATGTGATGCTTTGCAGGTATGAAAATATGTATTCCTTATGCATAGAAGGCAAAGTAAAATATCTTGCAGCCAGCTGCCCAAATATTAGGTGCTCAAGGGCCTTAGGGCATTGATGCCTCATAAATTTAAGAGTATTTATTAGGTGACTACAGAACTGGAAGTTTTGTAGCACTGGAAAGTAAGTATGATAATGAGGTAAACACATGTTCCAAAGAAAATATGAACTAATCGTGCACTCTGTGCAGGAAACTGCAGCTTTAAACAATAATTTTGTGAATGCTGGAGCAAGGCCTGTAAGCTGCTGCAGGATGGGCTGCTCATTAACATCTCTCTGTATCTTCTAGCTTTTTAGTACCGTAAACCCAGTTTGACAAGCAGGTAACCAAATAGGTGTTCTGCTCCTTTGAATGCTTCGAAGGACCTTATGAATGCTCCTTTCCATTCCAAAAAGTGGAGTGTTACATGTAGCTTCACTTTTCCTTAGGTAAATAAGAGGAAGCATCTTTCAGGGAACCATAACCACTGGTACAGTCAGGATTCCCTTCTTGGGTTGGAGGAGACCTCAGATGTGGTGAGGACTGTGCATCGTGAGCTCCATCTGGAGGTTGTTTGCTCTAATCTGTGGTTTTGGAAGAAATGGAGAGAAAATACAGCAGTGCTGGGTCAGTCACCAAGACCCAGGGTCATATGGAAAAAAATGACCTTGCAAACGAGAAGAGCTGGCTGATGTGCAGGTGTCACGCAGAGGATGGTGGGTGGTGGGATGAGCTCCATTTGCCCAGGGTAAGGGGGATCTTACAGCTATGCCTGAGATGCAGCTTTGCTGTTTCCTTATCCATTGGTCAATGCAGCAGACATGAGGCAGAAATTCCAGCACATAGCCAAGATTTTCCTATTAGACTGTTTATGGTGGAAGTGTTTATGGCCCTCCCAAGTCCCCAGGGTGTGTATTTGAAAGTCTGTCTTTACCCTCACCCTCAAATGTAAAGGCAGTGGTGGAAGAGACATCAGCCCAATCTGTAGTTTCCACAAAGCACACACAGTAGTGGAAATGGTAATTCCAGAGGTTCAGGACTAGGTAGCATGCAGAAAGGTAGAGGTTTGGTAATTTGGATGAGGTATATTGCTGCATGAAGCTCACAAAACACTTGTAGAGCAAATTTCTGATGAATTATACCAGGTATCCAGTCCCAGTGGTTTTGCTCAACTCTGTCCCAAAGATGTCTGCATGCACAGCTTCAACTGCAGTCTTCTAAGGTTCACTTAAATACCATGAAGTCAGGAGAAAGTTTCATGCTTGTTCAAAGTCAGAGAGAGCTGAGACGTGATCAGACTTTCTGCCCAACTACAGTAAAAGCCACTGGGAGTGGGGTACACAGGGTCCTGCAGCCTATCTCCATTCTAATGTTACAGACAAAAATCAGTGCTGTATGGGTAAGCTAAAACCCACCTGTGATTGTTATTTTTGTTTTGCCAGAGGTCTTGCAGTGCTTGCAGCAGTGAAGGGTTGGACTGATGTGGAACTGTTGAGCAGAGCAAGAGCTCCATGAAAAAACAGTGTTCTGTCCATAGGAAGGTTGTGCTGAGAGGGGTCTCTTTGTTCAAGGACCTGCTGCATGTTAAATTCTTGTTGTCCTCCTATCTGAATGTAAAAAAATGCTGGGGGATTCACAGTCCTAGTGAATGTTGTAGTGTTAAGGAGGTCAGGAAAAGTATTTGGGGTGAGAAATGTTTGTGAGATTTGCCATACACCCTATAATCACACCATAGCTGTAAATATTATTGCCAACTCTTGCTTGCTGTGTGACCGTGCACTTAACACCACCGTGAGAAGTAGGTGCCCCAGCTGCAGACTGCTGCACAGGGCTGGGGAACCTGGACTGTTTGGCTCTGATTTTATGTGGAAAAGTGCAAGATCTATGTGGAAAAGCATCTCAAACACAGAGGCTGGAGTGCAGTCTGTAAGGCCCGTAATGTAAGCCAGCAGCAGCTCTGTCACCAAAGGCCCAGGTGCAGGACAGGGCACTCCTCTAGAGATGGGACACATGCAGGAAACTGGGCACAAAGGTCAAATTACATTTTATCCATGGAGTTGGTGCCAGATGCCCTGTGGGATGAAGAAGTGGAAAAGAAAACCAAAGAATGGGAGCTTAAGGGGACATGTGGATTTTAGTCAGCTGCTTAACGACACAATGTTTCAGGGCTACACTTCTCTAATGTCAGAGGTTACCATGGCTGCTCAGTTGTCAGCCAGCGTCTGAAAGAAAAAACATTTAATTAATCACCCAGGGTGCTAAACTGATGTACAACCAGAGTTTTCATTTTCATAGACTCTTATATTTTTTACCTATGAAACTAAGCAGTCTTCCCCAAGTGCTGGGTATCGAGGGCTGCAAAAGGTATTTCTTTCATTTTTTTTAACACTGCTGAAAATCAAAGTTATATCTGCCCTCTTTCTCAAGAGGATTATGACAGGGTGCACAGCATGGTGCTTAAGGAAAAAAAAAGCAATTCTTGACATGTACACAGACCATCAGGAGGTCTTTAACTTGCAATAAAAACTGAGTTACTATTGACAGCAAGATATAAAAAGGCCTGCAGATCATACAGAGAGAAGATTATGGTTATGGCCTGTCACACAGTGGATGAGAAAGAAAGTGGTGAAAAGGTGAAGGTTTATTTCTGTGTAATATGTTGATCCTCAACTTCCATGTCCACAAACTGGTTTTATAGCTACTATTGGAGGAAAACGATATGTTTGATCAATGACATATATACATGGCCAAAACTGAAAATACTCAAACCTATCACGTGTTACACAGATGTTGGGTATCAAGTGGGAACCTGCTCCTGGGATGGCACGGTGATCATCGATGGGAGGACAACAACTTTCAAATATAATGGGTGTTTTTTCCATGGTTTTAGTGAATGCTACCATGAAAATGACTGGAACCATCCAGTGAGGACCACCTTTGGGTGTTCATGTTACACAGTGAAACAAAAGATGGACTGCCTAAAGAGAGCAGGGTTTGCCATCATGTCCATATGGGAGCACAGGGGAACTGCTGTGAAAAGAAACAGATGGGGAGCTCACAGTCTTAGCCAGGACCAAACTGCGAGGTCTCTGATCCCCAGAGATGTGCTTTTTGGCAGCAGGTCAATACCATTTGTCTGTACTACAAAACAGCCCCTGATGAAAAGATACACTGACCACCTACTTTAGGATAGTAAAAATAAAGCTGTACTTAACCTCATAAGCTCTTTTTCTCAGTGCTTCTCAGGAGTCTAAGTGGTAAAATATTGTTTTCCCTGTCTGAAACCTGCCAGGCCTGCTGCTGATGAATAGAAGTACCTTGCAGTTGCCTGGTGCACCCTAGAACTAGAGAAGGCTCTGGGGAAGGGCTACAGCTGTGAAACCTATGAGGTCTGGCATTTTGAATAGAGAGGCAACAGCCTTTCCTTGCATTACATAAAGACACGCCTCTGCCAGAAGCAGGACACTTTGGACTGCCCAGCCTGGAGTGCAGATGCAGACAGAAACTCGCTAAATATGGTGAAGATTACAGGCAGAAAGAAGATGCTGTTTTGCAGCTTGAGCCTATTAAGTAAAACTCTACAAAATGCCAAGCTGCCAAACTGTTTAGCATCATCTGTGGGGTAAAAGTGGAGTGGGCTCCATGGCTCCAACACTACCATTGTGAGAATATGGTTATCCCTTCACCCCAGCTTCTGACACACTTTCCTGTGATTTATCCATATGGGTGCAACCACTGTTTGGTGGAATCACACCAAAGGATGCAACCCAGGACTGCAAGACTACAATTTCTACAGCTTTCCTTGTCCCAGTATGGTTGTGCCTAGAGCTATACAAACCCTCAGAAACCCTGCATGACCTTGCCTTTACCACAACACAGGCTCTGGGACAACTGTGAGTCATCCAGGGGATCCCTCCTGTCAGGAACTATTTAGATGAGCTGATGAGTGATGGCCATGTAACCAACTTGGGGGTTTGTGGTCCCAAGTGCTCCTTAAAAGTTCAAGGCTGGACTCCAAGTGCAACAATCAGAAAAGATTCATCTTTCTATGAGAGCCCAGAGGGGCTGGGCGGGGACAAGCAGGTCCTGCCAGCCCCCTGGAGGACTCTGTAGCCCTGAGGCACATTCCAGCTTGCTCACAACCCCTGCCCTCTTTAGCTCTCCCCCACCACTCCAGAGGACTTGGTCTGCAGCCTCTGAAAGTCAGGGGACATGTACTTGCCCTTTGCTTTTGTTTAATTACTTCCTTTCACACTGACTTGAGGAGGTAGCCCCTTGCTGAAGTGCGAGGGGACTGCCTGCAGTTGATGGATCCTGGGGTATGGGGCAAATATTATGTCCTTCCAATAAACATTTGCAGCACTGTCACCTCTCTATAATGATGCCTGTTTGCTCTTTGAACCTGACTTTATTTGAAGTTCTAACAACTTTTGATGGCAAAGAATTTTGCAGCCTAATCACATAAATATTCAAAACTATTTTAGTGATAAATTAAGAGCAGGCATGCCTTAAACTGCATTAAGATGGAACTTTGTTCATGTTGTGACACAAGAACAAGCTTCATATTCCGGGATATCCTTCCATCGTTTCATCTGTTAACCCCTGATTCAAGATAAGCAGTGCCACCTCTTCAGTTTTCCAGCATTTCTGCACCTTTGTAACATTGTACACTCAACATTTCCTGTCCACTCCATACTAAGTATTCCAGCAACTGCATGAGGGAGAAGTGAAAACAATAGGAAAGGAAAGTAAAAGAACCCTCAAGTTTTAGGTTGTGTTTACCATGACAGTATTTTCAAACAGCAACCGCAGAAGCAAATCAGTAGTATTTCTTATTTTAATTGCATAAACCCAACATGAATAAATTTTATCAAGCCTGTAAGTACACTAAGGTGTATTCTTTTAATATTTTTTGTATACTTTTATTTACAAAAGAAAAAATGATCCTACAGTTTCAAACCAAATAAAAAATACAAGGCTAAAAAGTGGAAAAAGAAGCAGAACAACATGTGGGCTTTTTCTTTAAGAAAGTATCTGAAAGACAAACAAAGGACACACGGGGAGAGCTGAGCTAGAGCAGCTGCTGATGTCCTTGAATTTGAAACAGCATCTGAAAAACCAACTCTCTTATCCCTCACTTCACATGTAGTGAAAGAATCCAAAGTAGTCTCTCAAACCTCAGACGTCCTCTGGTGCACTTGAAGCTTAATAGCCGTATTTTTCATTGAGATGAGTCTTGCCATCACCGCTTTGACCTAACGGACAAAGAGGAAGAGGTGCATTATTCCTTTCCCCCTCTTACCTAAGAGAAATGTGTATCCAAGTACGAAACAGCCTCTAGGTAGCACCAGCCATGCAAGCACAAAGAGGATAAAAAGTCAGACTGCATTTTGCAATTCAATGTGCCTTTTGATTTATACTTATAATTCATTTTAACCTTACTAATAGTGTTAAGATTACATCATGCATCCCTGTTTTTGTGGCTGGTTTGTTGGGGTTTTTTGGTGTCCTCAATATGGCATCTTACAAGGTAAGTTCTACTACTAGCAGACAGAGTGGGAAAATGGAGCTCCCTTACGGACACAGTTTGCTTGGCTATCCCAGACAGACCTCCAAGTTACTGAATCCAGTATTTTGTTCCAGTGGATTCATCCGCCAGAGACATGCAGTCTTTTCATTGAAGGGTCATTCACCAGATTATAGCTTTCTTCAGTGAAATTTATTCTCATTTTTCTTATTCCCTCTGGAGCCTGCCTATATTATAAGCCTGCAACAGCCTTACAAAAATTATAGTAATGAATCTACCAAGTGAAGACTCAGCTTTGAACTTGCTACAAAAATCTCAAAGTATGAAAATGAATTTTTTATTTTTGAGAGACTGAAAATTCATTACACTGTTTAAGAATAACCTCTAAGCTAACAACACCCTGGAACCAAAGTAAAAAAAATCATTCAACTTTAACATATGTTGGATGCATGCAACCATTATTCAGTGCCTTCACCAAAACATTACCAAGACTTCTCTCCAAAAACCTGACCCAATGATTGCATTCCAACTATTTTTGCAATAACCTGCAAAGAAGACTTTTGGATTTCACTGACTTTTATGAAAACTGAGAATACTAACATTGCTGGAGCATTTATCCCTAGCGAAGGCTTGAGCATGTCTTTCAACTAGATTATCATACCACCATGTGTGAATGCAGTTAGCACTCTCAGGTGTTACAAAACTGAAAAACAAACTTTAGGTGTATCTGTCCATTGAGATGAAGCTACTACAGATATGGTCTGTATTTCACTGCAAGACCTGCATGGTCACAGAACAAACATGGAGCACAACATGCCAGAAAACATCAGGTTCTGAGTAAAGTATTCCTGAACGAACTTTTTCTCGGAGACTTACAAGGACACCCTGACTATGTACTAGGTAGATTCCTGAGTTATAAGACTAAAATTGGTAAGGAAATGGTTGATACCTGCAGGAGGAATCCATATGCAGTAGTCTGGGTCATCATCTGGGTACTGTGAGGAAAAAAAAGGTTGTTGAACCTGCAAAAGGGGAAAAGATTTTTAAGGTGCTGCGCCCCTCCATCAATGTGTCACAGCCACTAAATCCTCACTAATTCAGAGACAAATACTGAAAGGTAAGGGTTATTTCCACAAGAGTTAGGGATAAAAACAATAACAGAGAAGAAAGATCAAACCCTCAAATAAATCCAGTTTATTCCCAGTAGAGTCACAGACTAATAGAAATACTGGTTAGAGGGGACCTCTGGAGGTCATCCAACCCAATTTCCTCCTCAAAAGAAGAACCTGTTCACTTCTGGACAGTTTATCTTGTCATCTTCATGTTTGGCAGTGCTGTTTGACACAGGATTTCTTTATGCAGGGGAAAGCTTTAGAGCAGGATTCTCAAGATGTGCTTTCCTGATTTCAATGCACAATCCCACTGAAAACTTTGGGCTTACAGTGACTTTCAAACTGGAGTATGTAAAAGTTCATCTGTTACATAAGGATGACTTAAGTTTTCAGAAAGAATACTCATTTTTTTTCAGGTCTCATTGGTATCCTGAAATGTTTAAAGCAAACCAAAACAGGTCACTTATAATGCAATTGTTGACACAGCAATGTCTCTTTGTCCCTAGATTTTTAAGTTTTGTGACATCAGCATCATTTTCTCAACAACTTCTGTTTTCAACAACTGAAAGCAGCTATATAAAAAAGTCATGCAAGTGTAGAATGCAAGACTTAAGAGCTCAAAATATATCCAAGTTACTCAGCAATGATTTGCATTACTTCGTATTATCAGGACACAGTCTTAAGTCATGCAGTTGAAGTTTTCATTCCCTCAAAAACTTTCTTTCCCCAAAGTAACCTCTAAAACAGTTATTTTGGAAGACTAATGTTTTCCAAAACATTAGTCTGCAGGGTTGAACAGTTTTTAAATATGGCTTGTGAAAATCACTTGAAAATTGTTTTTCCAGTTTTACGTGATTCAAAGTTATTGAAATATTAAAAGGAAAAAAGAAAAAGCTGACTTCTGGTTGATATTTTCCATGCAAGATCTGAGCCCAAAGGCAACGACAGCATGTGGAAAAAGTGATTTGTGATGGGAGAAAGAATACATCTAAGCCATCTGGCACCTGGAGAACGCTCAGTGTTAGAGTGAACTCTCTGCTGATGAGAAATGCTGACTTGACTGTCTCAGCGTGAAAAACTGCCTTGTCCTCCCATATTCTTAAAAGTGGTATAACTTGGCCTTTAACAGTATAAATACACTCCTGATTTCTTAAGCATCTTTAGCAAGGCCAGCAACAAAGGACAATTCTAAAGACTGTGCCTACCCACGCCCTGGGTCCTCCACCTGGACTAACAAAGCAGCAGTTACCACACACAGTCTGCTGGGAGTCAAGTTTATTTCAGTAAGTGCTGCAGGGCTAAAATTAGATGATTACCACAAAGAAATTGTCATAATGGTCAGAACTCATGGCCCACCAAGTACAGTCATCTCCTCTGATTGCAGCCAGTAGAAGAACAGGGTTCACTCTAAAGGGAAGAACTTCACAATAAGAATTAGGCTGAGAGCATGCTGCCAGAGAACATCCTTCCCTGCTCTAGGAACACTTGCCTGAATTCCAGAATATGCAAAGCTCATATACTTTACATTTTAATACAGATTTTATAAACATTGTCTGGTACATCCACCCAAATTTAGTGATAACTTGGTTGCAACAAACAATAATCTCTTAGACTCATCTCTTCCCACATCTTACAGAGAAGAATGAGGTTTGATATAGACTAGTTACAACTTTAGTACAGCATGTTGAGTCAGCCAATACATGTTTCCCAGACTACTCTCCAAGGGAAATTTTGTAATGACATTCCAAAGCACCTATGTTCCACAACACTCATGATACAGGAGAAGCAGCACTTAGTAACTGCCAAGTGAAAAGGTGAAAAAAATAAATTTGTGATTAAACAGAGAGCCTCTAGCATGCCTGAAATGCTGTGCTTTACCTTTTCATTGGAGACTCCAAAGTCTGTGTCGAATGGCAGTGTATAGTTCTACATTTGGGTCTTATTCAGCAGAAAAGCACTACTATCACTGAGTTATACTCCATCAATTTGTTACTATTTTGGTAAAAAAAAAGTCTAGTACATTATTTCCTGAAAGTCTTAACCTGCAGGAGTCATGGTGTGGTAACTGACCTTCCTTGAGCTATTGGTTTTCTTAACTTTCTCAGATGTCTCTTCAGGTTCCTTATTTACTGCCTCGGATACTGGGAAGAAAGCAGATTTGTTTTATGACACATCACAAATGATCAGTTCTACCAGAAATAAGTTTACAGGAAGTTCACATAAAAATTAATACATCCATAAGGAAATCCAAGACAGCTCACTGCAACACAGTTCATACTTGAGAATAATACTGCTGAACATCTCAGTGTTTTTCAAACATTTAAATTATGTTAAACCCTCTGTTGGTCAGCTACCTGAATGCAGTTTAATAAGGTCCTCTTTAGTGTGATTCTTTAGTTAATGGCAGATGTTTATTTTCTGAAAGACACTATCTGTAATCACTGCAGTGATAATTTAGAAAGGAAGGAGCAGAAAATGTGCAGGACCAATGTGCTTTAAAAAAAAAAAAACACCCTCACCTAAACATTAGAGTTACATGGGTGATAAGAATTCCTTGGTTTTCTACCACTTAGTCTGTGAAATATTGAGACTTATGGTTTAAGTCTGTGGGTGAAATGATGAGGACAGGACAACATTCTTAGGAGTCTAGAGTTATGAAAAAATAGTAAAGTCATACAGATCTCCTCCATGTTCAGTACACCTAATAGTCTTCATTTTGAAGATCTGACTTTTTGGATGTACATGCAAAAGGGTCATCTAGGTCATTAACAGATTATAACCCAATGTTATGTAATATTTGACACTTTATAAAAGATAAAGTTCTGTCCTTCTGTAGCGTTAAGAGCTACTGCAAAAGAATAAGGGAAGCATTATCTTATTCTTCTTAATTAAAACAGTTTTTATTCTCAGGCTATTTTTTTTAAACAAAGGATCTCAAAGCAGTTATTGACTATGAAAAGCAAGGAGCACTGAAATACAGTGGAAGTGACCTGTCTCCACCATACAGTTATCACTTCCCAAGCAAAACACAATCCTTTATTTCAAGTCTGGATTCTTAGGGCTCTGCATTAGGCTTAGTTTCCTTTGACCCACATAAGCCAGTAAGCCCTTTGGTCAGTTTCTAAACCCACATGCTCCTATACAAGAGTCTAAATTATACTGCTCACCTTGAGATTTCTCTTGTGAAGGTCCCATCTGAGATTCATTCCTCAGTACCTTTGGCTCGGGCTGAAAATCAACCCCTGTAAAAGAAAAAAGAAAGAGATAGGTGGGCACTCTGCAGTAACTCATGAGCAGAGCACTAACATCCCCGAGACAAAGTACAGTGGGGAACTCTGAGTTACACTTGTCTTGGGAAGAACTCTTCTCTCAAAAGGCCTCCAAATTATTTCATCCACCAAGTCCATTGCAATACATTAAAGAAAAACCTGTGACCAGTTAAAACACTTCTCAAGAGCAACCTGTCCAGCATTAAGCCCAAAAGTTAGAATTTGCTTTCTGTTATCAAACATATTGTTTATTGAGAAACATCATTACTGAGCTGTCAGAAGCATCAAGCTGATATAGAAAAGGAGGAATATACAAAGATACAGGAATACATCTCTCCATTACCACTTTTAAAATTATTTTTCCTCCTTACAAATGGATCTGAAGCTTTGCAAAGACATTTTTTTTTTATTGAGTCACTTCCACTGCCAACAACACATTGTAGTAGTTTCCATATGGACAATCAATCTAGTGGAAACGGAGCTTATCAAAATAGGACCTTTTTTGCATCCAGGAGATTTATTCTATTTCACCAAAATGCAAGAAAGCCAAGTTTCATGCCAACTGCCAAGCAGAGTTTCAACTGGAATCATGTGAAACTTAGCTGCTGCCACACAGACTCTGGACTCATAGCAAAAAAACTTATGTAAAAGAAATGGGCTGGAGAACTGGTGACTCAAACATTAGGAGAAAAAATCAGCAGTAACAGACTCAACTTCATTACTGGAAAAAATCAAAAACAATGGTTTACCATCCTGAAGGGATTCTAGATTCTTGTTATTGCAAGGAGAACTATCAGGAGCATTAGTTTCTTTTCCTGTTTCTTCCTCTGTTGTCGTTTTCATTTCCAGCTTTGATGCTCTGCTGTTTACTGCATCTCCTTTTTGCTGCTCTTCCATTTCTTCCTCTTCCTCCTCCTCCTCCTCTTCTTCTGGTCCATCATCTTTCATTTTTAACAAGCTTTCAGGGATGTCTGGACGCTTAACAGGCAACTTCTGCAAGACAAAGAATAGAGGTAGATGTCACTCATTACAGGAGAAAGCACACATACTATTGTCAGAGACAGCTGGTAAGGAAACACTCTCAGGATGAAAAATAGGTTTAAAGGGAAAGTTATTAGTAGAGATGGAATATGAAAAAATATGTCCAGCCCATAAACAAGGAGTGCAGTCTTTTCATAAGAGGGACACTGGAAACTGAATCAGTCCTGGATATGATCTTGACTATAAGATCAAGCAAAACAAAAGGAAGTAAAGGACCAGCAGCTGAGATATAGCAGTGGTTCAGCCTGATGTCCCCAGACTGCCTCTACTTGATCCACTGCCTTTTGTCCACAGTTGTGTGACAAGGGCAAGGGCAAGGGCAAAGAATGGCAACTGCTGGCAGCAAACAATATCCAACAGCCACTGCTTGCCACCCATGGACCTTTCCCTGCTACAGGCTGCACCTCCAAGCTGTTTCCATAGATGAGAAGACGTGGTTGCCTCCTACAGTCACCACAGTCTGAGAAGGTATCTGAGAAACAGCCACTGACTCGCAGCACTTGAGTCCAACTTACCCCTAGGCTTCCAGTTTTCAGTTTGAATTTGCTCCCCCCTTTCATTGCACCGAAGAGAGGCAGGTTCATCTTTTTAGGCTTGTTCTCTGTGTTCAGAGTGTAACTCCCACCCCTAATAAAAATTAGATACAAAGAAAAACAGTGCACAAAGTATCAAACAAGTCTTCTATATACAAACATAAAAAAAATAAATCTGCAAATTAGAAGTGGATATATAAAAATCCTTTTATTTCTCTCCCACTTGCAGCATCCAAGGAGGAAGCTGCAGGAGATGACTCCTCCATCCCACATTCATGTTGTAAAATTCAGATACTTGTCCTAACAGGAAGCAAAAAATAAACAAACAAGGAAAAAAAAAAATCTGTATCACACAGATTTCCTCAAGTTCAACTGCATACGTACTTACATATGTATATAATATATATGTATATATAAAACCATATTTGGAGGCCAAATCTCAATTTAAGTGAATTAATTAAGTAATTAAATCTCTAATCAAGCTGCCACTAGTAAATGATGAACCCAGCACACACTCTCTTGAATTGCAGTAGTACTGCTGGGCAGTAGTTGAACAGCCACTACATTTGACTTCCAGACACATTTCAGAGAGTGAAAATGGGTTTCATGTTGTACATAGTATCTCTAAAATTCTTCAGTTTCTTTTGGATGCAGTTGGGAAAAAATTAAAGAAGCTGACACTATGCTTCCAATCCCTTTCCCACCTCATCCTGCCAGCTTGGGCTCATCTTATTCCAGTTTTGTGCATCTGTCTGAACCATAGATGTTGCAATAGCATGAAGGCACAGCGACTCTTTAAAGTTTGGTAGTTTTGGAAGGCTGTCCTGCTTTTGTGCTTGGAAAGCTGTCCATTTACTGGGCTTGCACAACTGCCCATGGATAACAACAAGAGAAAAAATACTTGGTTTATACTTTAGCTGACTTACTGAGGCTTCAGCTCAGGTAGTTCTGCAGGCTTGACAAGCTTTATTAACCCTTTCAGTCTCTGTTGCTCTTTCTTCAGTTCAAATGACCGCAAGTGAAGTTTTTTTCGTGCCACACTGTCTAAGGTGCATCCTGATTTTATTTCAGTCATGAATTCATCCAAGGAATCTTGAGCTGCTGGCTGGGACTGGACTATGTAAGATAAAGGGAAGATACATATTGTTATGGTGGGGAGATGAGAGCTGCACTCATGCGGTTCAGCCTTTAGAGAATGAGGTACATACAAACAACTATTCTTTCTGCAAAGTTTCTGTTAAAACATTGGTGATTGTTAGCCCTCGTAACATGAAAGCATTTCTCCTAACAAAAGCCTGAAAGTAAACTTTAATCCACTTACATAACAAAACCTCTCCTAAAACTGATAGTTTCCCTGTGAGTGTCTCTGTTCTAGATTGTTCATCTCCCTCCAAGATCTGCTCTCCCTCAAAAAGCAGCTTAGGGTTCTTTTTGTAGTCACAGACTAAAATAATCCCAGCTACAAGGAAACCTACACCACTGAATGGGGAATACCATTTTGGTTTTCCTGGAATATTAAAGCAGTAACATTTGGAAAACTCAAAATGAATCAACACATGATGCTGCCTCCTATCCCTGAAAGAGTGCATACAAAACCAAATTCATACACCTACCAAAATGTAGATGTAGATTTCATACATCATAAAATCTACCTTTGCTTTGATTGGATTTTCTAAAAAGAAAACACTGCTCTGTACTTGAAAAAGAGTAATGTCAGTCTTCCTACTCCACCTAATTTCAAATATTAACAATTCTATGCATATTTGACTAATTAAAACTCAGGAGATAAAACTAAATCTCTAAATTACTAAGAAAGATAAATACAGAATTCTAGCACATAGATTTCAAACAAAAGACTCACGAAAACTCCTTTCTTGGGCTTGAGCACTGAGTTTTTATATGGTGTTCAAAAATAAGTTGGAAGTAAACAGAGAAAAATGTTTTTGCCAGAATCTTAACAAGTCTTTAGACAGATAGTTTTCTATCTTTTAATATTATATGAAAAGGGGCAAATCCAGTATGTCTTTGCTGCCTTACAAGTGTTTCTCTATATATGCACAAGCATAATTATGTGATCAGTAAGTTATTTTCAGTTCAGCTTGAGCTAATTAAGTAGCACTTGAAATTTTAAATGCATACACATAAAATAGTCTAAGTTATTCTAAACAGCACGTATTTGAGCAGTTTTACATGACTTAGATATTTAGAAGAAAGTCTAATACCACTCATGCTTACAAATGGACTCAATTGAAAAGGATACTTCTGATCTAAAAGAAAACAGTTTACCATTTGAAAATATATGAAAGCCGTAACAGTAACTGTTCAAAGTTATACAGAATTAAGAGGCTCTAAAAGATAAGAAAGGGTTGTAGCATTCACCTCCACACAAGCATAAATGATGACAAAATGTCATAAAAGACATTCTGATAGAAATACTGAAAAAGAATTACTTCTTTTTCCTCTTAACTATTTATTTGAACCAAGACAAAAAGCAACAATGGAAAAGTATTGCTAACAATCAGTCTGAAACTTCTAGCAGGCAGGAGCTGAGCAGAATGATTGATTTAAACATCAAATTTAAACATCAAATTACAAAAATACCATTTAGTGACTAGTCACGTAATTCAGAACAATTAAAGCTCCACAATTAAAGCCACAGCTCGCTGCTTTAGCTGCAGAACAGTGTAAGTGCTTCAGTCACTGAGTGATCCTCAGGGGCCAGATCACCTCCTCTTGCAAATCGGATTCTCTGCCTGATTCCACCAACAGTACAGGCTCACAGTTAACATTTGCTATCTGTTGCAGCAGTTTTCTACACTACTGAAGTAAAATTTAACATTACTAGGAGGTGAATCAATCATGTCTATTATACTATATATCCCAGTGAAAAAAAGCTATAGAGCTATTTACTGCACCATCAACTTATTGATTATTTTCTTCTGAACGGGCAACCAAAGATGAGACTAAAGAGCTCTGTGTACTTGATCTGCATTAGGGTGCATCAGTGAATGAGAGATACCAAGTCAGTCCGCCAGTAATTAGTTCCGAAGAACCCCAGGAAACAATTTTTGAACTTATATTGAGATTTTTTTTAGACAACTACTTTATTTCTCCAAGTGCTTGGTAAAAGGTGTTGCAATTTAGCAGATGAAATTCCAATCCAATACTGAATTATACTGTACTGCAATACAAAGGCTTCAATTTTTTTCAAGGCTCTAAACTAGCTGTGCAACAGCCTGCAACTTACAAAAACATGATAACATAAATCAGCATTATATGGTGTTAGTAGAAGCATAGAAATGAACTGACTCTTCCTTCTCCCAGCCTCTACTACGATATGATTTAACAGTTGAGAGAACTGTTTCTCAACAGTTGTTGAAAAACAGTATCAGCAGAAACAAAGGCATCAGAACGTATGAAAGCTTGGAATTACACGTCTCAGACAATATAAGCATCAGTGCCTCTTGTCAGTCAATCCTAACTACTTGTCAAAACAGTCATGCTGAAAACAATTCCTTCAAATACACTCAACATGAGTTAGAATTCTTGGTGGAATGGTATAATCAATCACCACAAAAATGTTGATACAAATGAGTTTTGGTGTGGAGCTGAATTACCAAAAAGAAACATGGCCATGTAATGCACAAAACACAGCCCAGCTGTCACACTGCTGTTAGACTCCTTGGAGAGAAACTCTTCTGACTAATACTGCAACCTTTATTAATGCCAACTCTGTTAAAAAGGTTTTTTATGAAGAACCAGCCTAAACACATTTCCTTTCTGCCTTCCTTTTACTCCAAAAGACATCATCAGTAACAGAAAGCAAAATGCAGTTATTTGTGTAGTATGCTTTTAAATGTAACTCACTTACAGACACAATCACTACCCCGGAAAGGCTCTGCCTTTGTACACAAAGGCATAATCCTAGAACCTGAATTAGATAGCAAATTCACTGAACATATGGGTTAAGTGTCAACTGCTTTGACTCTACATTTCTCTTTTCCCACCTTTCCTTTTTAAGGTGCATCTACAATGAGAGAAGTGAAATAAAAGATATTACCCTTTCTGTCAGTTTTTTCTTCTTCCCTTATAAATGCTTTTGAAGGGAGTGGAAAAGACACTGTTCCTCACTTTGGAAATTGGGTCAGTTCCACTAATACTGGCAGATAAACAGTGATAATACTCACCCTCTTAAAATCCAGGAGCTTGTACACTTGCCACCCTACTTTAACATAGATGCTGCTTGCTTTGGAAAAAGCTGCTTTCATTAGCAAGTGACCATACACACAGAATACATAAACCATTGGATGAAGAGCATAAGTATTCTCTCCAGCCAACTCAGTGAGCTGCAAAACTTCCAATCCCTTTGTAAGAAGTGGACACTAACAAAAGAAAGCACTGAAGCAAGAAATCTGTAAGATAATTTTAATCTCTTTTCTTTATGGAGAACACTACAATCAAATAAACTTCATACCTTACCTTTCCCTGAAGCCTTCAACTTCTCTGTTATCTCAGAAAGCTCATTTTCAGCTTCCTTTAGCTTTGTGACCTATGAGAGAACAACACACTTAGAAGACTTTTCTATCGTCTTAAAATACCCTTTTAAGAGTTACTCAAATATCCTACCAAATTACTTTGATTTTTCTGCTTCTGATCTTTTACCAGAACTTCCTGGGTTGAAAAAACTATACTCTAGATTGCTCTTAAAATTTATCCTTCCTTTGACATATTGTTTAAACAATTTTCTTTCTGAAACACAAAAGTATGTATAATTCTGCAGCAGTGTTATACCACCACTGTGACACTCCAACCCACCCTACGCCTCACACCCTATTGTCTGTGTAGGATCTTTAGTTGTTATATGCCTGTCAATCCAAGATGCTTGTTCTTCAAAGCAGAATAAGGTTCTTCTCTGGGATGTGTCCTGCAAAACTTGAAAGCTTGCAATTATTTTCTGATGATTTAGAATCATTTCAAAAGTATCCTGTTCTGGCATTTCATTCACCCACTGCCATGATCCACTAAGGTTCCTTCTTAGTCATAATACAGGCATGGAAGAGTAACCCTGACACATCATAACAATTCTTCTTACCAAGGAGTCATAAGTCTCCGGTTTTTCTTCTATTTTACCAGCTTTTCTCATTCTGTTCAGTCGTTTCTTTTCCACAGCACCAGTTCGATCGAGGAAGGTGTCATCATCACTGTCATAAAAATCCTCATCTTCCCAGTTCTTTGATTTCCTTTTTCGGGATACTGGGAAAGGTAAGGGAGAAGGCAAGAAACAAAATTATATGCCTACTAGTCAGCAATAAACCAAATTCAAGACACCAATCTCAAATCCCTAATTTAGGGCTCTTAGAATGATCACAGCCTTTGACTAGTTATTTACCTGCTTCTTGCCTCAGTACTCCCCGAGCATCAAGTAGCCTGCAAGCTTCCAGTGCACACTGTATCATTGCCTCCTTCTTTTTTCCTGAGTGGAGAACCTCTGCCACCAGCTGCTTCCCTGTTGCATCATCCACAGGCAACCTATTCAATTTGAAGGATCAGAGCACAGCTCAGATACAAACAGCTTTTCAGGGATGCTACTCAGATATTTTACTTATCATGCTGGCATTGTTCTTCCCATTTCATTCTAATCTTTTTCTGTAGATTAAATATTTTCACTTTTCTTTTCATACAGAACCAATCAAAACATAAGCATGGATTTCTTAAAGCATGCAATTAAATTTGTATTTCACTAGTGCAAACAATAATTCTTCCTATATTTATTCCATTGGAAATACAAGAAATTAAAAGGCTAAGTGTCAATCCCTGGATCATTTTAAACACCAATATCTTGCATCCATGCAACACCAGTAACAAACATCTTCCATGATGAAGCAAAGGATTTTTAAGCAGTACACTCATTGCAATGTTGCACCTATCCACTCAAGACTTATCTTGTTGACTTAATTTCCACCTCACCTTCTCCTGTCTTATAAAAGAAAGACATTAGTGGCCTCTAGAAGGAACCCATCAAGAACTGCCTTATACCATAAAAGAACTGAAATTGGGCACACAGTAGAATTAACGTTGGGTTTTTTTTTTTTTCCCTCTGTCCCATTAGGAATTGAAAGAGATTGTTTCTCTTGTATTTCCATTTCACATATTTCTCAAAACAAGGGGAGCTGAAAGAACCTAGACTCTTGCTTTCCTGATTTTCATCTCTAAGGAAAACTAAATGCTGTCAGAATAGAAAGGAAAGGAAACACTGAACGAGGCACTGATCCTTGAACTTCTGCCTCAGTATCAGGGGTTAGGTCTAATTATAGCTTGCGTGTGACATGAGAGTGACATGAGAAGTAATTCTTTCAGCTTTTGCTCATGAATTCAACAATTTCCATATACAAAAGTGAATGAAGACATACATACTTGATCCTGCACAGCCAGCTATTGTGCCCACGATCATCATATTCATATTCTAACTCTTCTCCTAGAAAGGAAAAGAAAGTTGATATAGCAACCAAAATTGAAATAAGCAAGAATAAACTACAGCAGAGAAGAATGTCATGTTTAAACAAAAGGGATAAAATGCCCTTGTTACATATCAAAGGACTGATTTTGCCTTACTTTTTTTTTTTAAAGCCATGGGATCTTCAGTTGGCATTATACTAATTTTTTTTTTTTGCCCAAAATCAAAGTTTTTTCATATTTAAAAAATCTCTAGTGGTCTGTTTAGGAACATGTAGTTCTAATTAAAAACAATCTTGTCTCTGTATGTATTAAAGTAAATACACTGAAGTAATGACAGTTTACAATCTGAATTCACAGATATCAGACTGATTTTTCATTTTAGCAAAAAAGTGAGTAATTTTTACATTTCACTAGCAACCATGGAAACTTTAGACTACTTAATTATTGCCTGTTGTCTTTTTTATACTTTCCAACTCTAACTCACAATTTTAGCTATCTCCAAATCAAACAATTTCAAATTTGATGGGTTTCAATTTTTCTGCACAGCTTCAAAGCATGGGTAGGGTTTGAGTGTCACTCCAGAGGAATACAAGGTGCTCAGTGCAACTCCCCGCTTAGGAATTAATACCTAAGTCTCAGATATACAACGGTGAGCCAAGTCTTAATTAAAAAACTCCAAACCAAATCACTACAAACCCCCACCAAAACTTGACCAAAAAAACCCCCATCACCCAAAATTACCCCGTTAGCAGAAAAGTTGAGCTCCCAGCGCACACTTTAAATCCCACTCCCTTAAAATAAGCACAAATGTAAAATTTTATTAAATTGAAAAAAATCCCATTTAATAAAATAATAAAAAAGGTACCTTCTCTATCAAAAAAGCCCTGTAAGGCCTTCCTAGGATCTTTCATATAGAAAGCATCTTGAACATCCTGAAAATCAACAGCAATAGGGTTTTCTTCAACCTCATCCTCCTCAGCATCCTCACCTAGAAGACATACAAAATGCAAAAAAAAAAGTGAAACATTAGAAAGAGAGCACTTTCATTAGTTTGAAAAAAGTAGCAGCTACATCATCCTAAAAATACTTCCCTTAACTTTAATATTATTTCTGCACCCAATCTAAAAAAAACCCTCCCACTTCTTTTTTATGCTATTAGTTATTACAACATGAGATATAGTTTTGCAGATGAGTGTCCCTACAGTTTTGGTACTTGCAAAGGTTTATGTGCTTATACATTTCCATTCAAAAAAACCCAACTCACTTTGTTCCAAAAAGCTGATTAATCTAGCAATCTATCTGGCTTTAAGATGTGGACTTTCTGTTTAAAGGTAAAGACAGCTATACCACATAGAAGTCTCAAGCAACTAAATTTCACCTCTCAGGCAAAAGTGTGGACATCATCACAGGAGCATTAACTAAACTTTCAGTTTCATGGCCTTTTACAGGCATAGGTGAATTACCTTCTCCTGTTTAAAAGGAGGTCTTGCATACTTCTCACTAGATATAAGCTTGTCTTCTTTTTAAAAGGAAAAGGATTAATTTGTACTCAAGAGCTTTGACTGGATTGTAACTCCTGGCAGCCAGCTGAAAATTCACGGAAAACTGGCTTAAAGACCTTCTAATGCACATCAGTCAATTTATACATCATCGCTTACCCATTCCCCACGAGCAGCTCATATCACTGTTCTGACTCCTTTCACTTTTCTCCTCTTTTTCATCTTCCTCATCAGAGTCCTCTCCCAACATTGTCTTTTCTAGTTTTGCTTGCTGCTGCTTACGCAATGCCTTCAATTCAGTCACAGTTAGTTCTGACTCAGACTCCTGGTCCTCTTTGGGTCCCTATATCACAAATAGTAACTTAGCAGAAGTGTTTTTTAAAAGAAAAAAAACTCAAGTATTTTCAACACACATGCAGAACACACTATAACAGAAACAAATTATTACAGTATTCTTCAGAAAGTGGAATTATTAGACCATGTTATGACGTACGTTCCAAAATATATTAATTTTTGATTATGTTTTGAAAGGGGGAGGGGGGAAACAAGCATTATTGTGTACTTGTCGGAGTCAATGCCAACCAAATGTTGTCAGATGTCAAATATGACTCTTTTAAAGGCTGAAGGCAAAAATTCCTGTCAGTGCTACATGGTTGAATTTAACGAATGAACAGCTTCTGAAGTGCATGTAGAGCACATGAAATACTGTCAAAGTTCCTACTAATAAAAGCTCCCCTTGTTCACAAAGACGTGTTAGCTCTTTACTGGGGCATCATACTGTCGGAAAGACACTCCTAATACATCTCGCTGTTGGAGAGAAATGCCTTTTGCGCTCACTGCACATCAGCAGAAGCCGCCCAGCCTGGTCTCAC